AAAATCCAAGGGGGGGGGGGGGTAATATCGCCGATTTTGTATAACCCTCTTTATAGATCCTCTAAACTGCAAATCTAAAATGTTGTTAAAAAAGTCAATGTGCATAATTACATGTTTCATCTACTTTTCTTTGGATTTACAAGAAGTGGACAGTCGTTCTTTAGCTTTTGTCTCTCTACAAGTTCACAGCATGAGGGCAGATTAACATACCGAGTGTCCCAGCCTAGAAAAACAAGACTTTTTGCTTTTAAATTAACTTGATGAGTGGCAATTACTCTTTGAAGAAACTGCTCTAAACTGGCATCAGGCGTGTTCACCATGTCAGTGGCATACGTTTCCCAAGCTCCTTCAAGCATTTCTCCCATTGGATCAACTATCTTGATGCCATTGTCATCTTCCGGATTGTGGGACGCTGTTATCATCACACCAATAGCTTGTCCATTTCGCACTCTTGATCTCAAGGCGGCTATGATACCCACACGGTAAGCAACATGGCCTAAATTTTCAGCTCTGTCAAGCAGATAATTAAGGTTAGTGAAACAAAAAAGTGTCAAACTAATCAGCAAGAAATTTGTGCATGTAACTCGGTAAACTTTTTATCAGAGGGAGGAGAGGAGGATTGGCTTCCCACTTAACTTGTTTTGGTTAAAAGAAAACTCTACTTGATGTCGACCCGGACTACATGCAAGGGGAATTTTTCTTGTTGAATCGTTTTCAAATGGTTTGATAGAAGGTAAACGCTTCTTCAACTCGATAACATTTAAGAAAAATCTGTACCTCAGAGAAAAAAAAATTAATCTGACACTTCTTCTGAAGAAGCGACCATCTATTTTTCTTTAAGTAACATTCCATGGAATTAGTAAAATTACAATTCCCATTTTCAAATACTTAAACCTGTGACCATGAATTTACAGTTTCTACATCTTTTCTTAAATCATGTATTTTGGGCACATTTCAATATCGTCACGTTTAAAAATGAATTGCAAACAGGTAATGCTGATATTGATATTTTTTTATTAAAATTTGAGCCAAACATCTTTGCTTCCTACCTTCAGTCTACATTACGCTTTGTCAGACTAGGACATGACCCAGACACATCCAGGCACAGTTCAAATTCATGTATAGGACCCCGCAAACTCCTCATGGGGATGTGTGCCACATTCGATTTCTACTTTTTTAATTGCATTAAACTTGTACATGGACCAGAAATTGTTGTGTATGGATTGTCAAGACCGGCGGTAAGGAAAACTATTTGAACACCCTATGTATGTGTATGTCTACTCACACTGGAAAATAAAACCGGCGATTTATGGACGTTTTTACAAGGGGCGTCCCTAAACAACTCATTGAGAGATCAAGTCTGTAATTCGGATACTACAGGGTTATCCAAAAGTCACTGACCACCCCTGTAACTTTTTTCCAAATTGAGATCGAAGTTTGAAACTTTGGGAATGTTCCGCGGTCTAAGGTAGCAACTTTTTGGTCCCCCCAAAATTTTGGGGGGCGGCCCCCCTTAAGGGAGGCGGGGGCTAACTTTTTTTTTTCAAATAGCAACCCCCCCTTTGTGATACCTCACTCGAAAGATAATAAAAAAAGAAAATTTTTGGCGCAAACCGCAGGTCAAAGTTCAAAATGGCGAAAATTTGGCATCTCCGTTGTTTATTGACGGATTGGTGTGAAACTCGGAATCCTAGGGTTTTTTGAGATGAGGAAAAGATTCTGGCATTGGTTTTCCAGAAAAGTCAGTCCTTTTCAAAATGGTGGCGATCAAAATGGCGGCCTAGAGTGGGAAGTGGATATTTAGGCTGCATATCGTTGGATTTGCAGGAAACTTGGTTTCTTGGGGTGTTTCGGCACGAGGAGAACGAATCTTTCATTGAATATCTGAAATTTTGACAAATTCCAAAATGGCGGCGGAAAAATGGCGGGAAATCAGTTTTACGGCTCTTTACCAATGGATTAGCATGAAATTATTTGATATTTTAAGAATCTAATGAAAGATTCCTTTTAATCCAGCCAAAAACCGCCAGGATATCGAATTTCATGCTAATCCATTGGTAAAGAGCCGTAAAACTGATTTCCCGCCATTTTTCCGCCGCCATTTTGGAATTTGTCAAAATTTCAGATATTCAATGAAAGATTCGTTCTCCTCGTGCCGAAACACCCCCAGAAACCAAGTTTCCTGCAAATCCAACGATATGCAGCCTAAATATCCACTTCCCACTCTAGGCCGCCATTTTGATCGCCACCATTTTGAAAAGGACTGACTTTTCTGGAAAACCAATGCCAGAATCTTTTTTCTCATCTCAAAAAACCCTAGGATTCCGAGTTTCACACCAATCCGTCAATAAACAACGGAGATGCCAAATTTCCGCCATTTTGAACTTTGACCGGCCGCCATTTTGTCAAAAATGGACATTTTGACCTGCGGTTTGCGCCAAAAATTTTCTTTTTTTATTATCTTTTGAATGAGGTATCACAAAGGAGGGGTTGCCATTTGCAAAAAAAAGTAAGCCCCCGCCCCACTTAAGGGGGGCCGCCCCCCAAAATTTTGGGGGGACCAAAAAGTTGCTACCTTAGACCGCGGAACATTCCCAAAGTTTCAAACTTCTATCTCAATTTGGAAGAGGTTACAGGGGTGGTTAGTGACTTTTGGATAACCCTGTATGATAGATGTTGAAATGCAATTTATGGGAGATTGTAGTCCATACTATTAGCTAACAAACCTCAAAACTTGAGCTTACTCGGTCGAAAACTCACGGAGTTACGGCAATTTTTCGGGGAAGATTTGAAAATAACTCTACAGAATTTTCGAGTATTTTCCTCATTTCGCAAACAATGCTGCTGAGCCGCGCTGCAGATCGCGACGCTGTAGATCATGTGGGCACTGTTCTGGATGCAGGTTTTAACCTCTTAACATATAGTCCAGTAAACGAAGGCGAATAGGGGCCGATTCCGGCCAAAAATTAAAATACGGCCGGATTTAGGCCCAATCGATTCTTCATATGAAAAGGTGTTTTTAGCCAAAAGTCCCCATAAATCCCCTTGGGGGATTTCGCACAGTGGTCCGATGAGGTTGAAAATTGGACATATTTTCAAAAATTCACTGCGGAGCGAGAAATAAACTTGGAGAGCTCATTTTTTTTGAAACTGTAGGTAATTGAGTCTACTTTTCGAATAAACAATAGTTTTAAATGTCAAAGTAATTTAAAGGTGAGTAAAATTGAAGGAAATTGAAAATTGAGAATTATTGACAGTCATTTTCCGTATTTACGTCCTTATGAAGACCCGGATCGAAAAATATCCTTCAGTAAAAGTTGTAGATCGTTCTTTTAGCGTTGATTTGGTATATTACATCATAGATTCATCTTTAAAATTGAGGGAGCAAAAGCCCAAAAACGGAGCGGGTCGACGCGCGGCCGCCTATGTTTTGAATCGTAAACTGGCGATTTTAGGTGGCACATGATGGCAGTGATGGTTAATTCACCTCTGCTCGTCTACTTACGACCAAAATCAATCATTTCCAGTATAAAGGCTTTTTTCTAAAGCGCCATGGTTGCCAGTTTTCGGTTTATTGTTTAACTGTTCAATAATTCGCTCTGGTAGCGATTCATGTAATACCTACTTACGGCTTTTTGGACGACTTTTTAAACCTCCACCCCTTGTGAAGCAACGGTGCAACTACATTTCAATCCCCTTTGGAATCAAGTAATTGCCCTGATCCCCCCCCCCCCCCCC